TCTCTGCTTTGGGATCAAGGTGATGCTTGCTTCCAGGAATGGATTTAGGAATATTGCTTTCTTTTATTAAAGATTGCAAACATACATGATAACAAGAAATGAAGATACTAAATAAAAATTTCAAGTATACATATATATGACAGCAAAGAAGGATATGAAATAAACAAAAATTTATGCAACAGACTAATAATCAAAATACATTATTAGTTTGATATGATCTTTAAACATTGTGTTCTTTCTCATTTTCTTATCATATAATATTTTTGAAATAATGTAATTACAAATAAAACAAAGTTACATATTATAGTTAAGAAACTGTCCTCAAAATTTTATGATTTATAAACTAGGAGTATTGCTTTCTTTTAAATTTCATTGAAGAGTTTAAACAGTAGTGGCAGTAATTCTTCTCTAAACGTCTTGTAGAATTCAGCAGTGAAGCCATCAGGGCCCAGGCTTTTCTTTGTTGGTAGGTTTTTAATTAATTACATTTTCAATTTTATTGATATTGGATCATTTGGACTTTTTAGGTCACCTTCATTAAACTTTGGTAATTCATATGTATCTAGGAATCTGTCAATTTCTTCTGTATTTTCCATTTTATTGGTGTATAGATTCTCAAAGTAGGTATTGATGAGCCTCTGGATTTCTGCTGGATCCCCTGTAATTTCACCCTTTTCATTCCTAGTTGCATAGATTTAGGCCTTTTATTTCTTCTTTTTGGTAAGGTTGACTAAGGGTTTGTCAATTTGTTTATTCTTTTGAAGTACCAACTCTTGTCTTTATTGATTTTTTGTATCAGTTTTTTTTAGTCTCCATTGCATTGATTTCTGCTTTTTATTTCCTCCCTTGTATGAGCTTTGGGTTTATCCTGCTTTTCTTTTTCTAGAAACTTAAGGTTGAGCATCAGATTTTTAATTGAGCTTGCTCAGTTTTCCTGAGTATTCACTGCTATGGATTTCCCTCATAAGACTGCTTTCATTGTGTCCCACAGATTCCAATATGTTGTATAGTCATTGTCATTTAATTGTAGGAACTGTCTGATCTCTTCAATTTCCTATGTGACCCATTGGTTATTCAGAAGTGTGCTATTCAATTTCCATGTGGTTATGAACTTCTTGTGGTTTCTTTTGCTATTGATCTCCAGTGTCATCACACTATGGTCTGATGGTATACAGGGGATCACTTCAATTCCTTTGCACTTACTAAACATGTTCTATGAGTGAGCATGTGGTCTATTTTGGAGAATGACCCATGTGCAGCTGAAAAGAATGTGTGTTCTGATTTTGTGGGGTAGAACACTCTGTAAACATGGGTTAAATTCATTTGTTCAAGAGTTTGACTGTGTTCTAATATTTCATTGCTTATTTTTTGTCTAGTTGATCTATTTGTGGTCACCCACCACTACTGTATTAATGCTTATTTCATTTTTCATGTCTGTTAGTATTTGTTTTATATTGTTGGATACACTAGTATTTGGTGCATATATATTTATGGTTGTCATCTCTTCCTCTTGGATTGTTCCCTTTACAAGGATGTGGTGTCATTTGTCTCTCTTAGTCATTGTTGCTTTGAAATCCACTTGATCTGCAAAGATTATAGATACTCCTGCTTTTTTTCGGGTTCCTGTCACGTGGAATATTGTTTTTTACCTTTTAACTTTCAGTCTATGAGTTTCTTTTCTAATTAAGTGTGTTTCTTGTATGAAGTATATTGTTGGATCTTGCTTCTTGACCCATTTTGCCAGTCTATTTCTTTTGATTGGGTAGTTGAGACCATTAACATTGATGGTCATAACTGATATGTATTGACATATCCTTGTCACGGTTTTTCTTTTTGTTGGATTCTTTCCCCTTGCATGTAATTTTTTGTCATGCCTGATGGATTCATTCTGCTGGGCTTCCTGGGGTTGTGATCCTCATTGTCTTTTCCTAGGACATTTTAAAAAATTTTTTGGAGTGCTGGTTTGGTATTCATGAAATTCCTAAGGTGCTCTTTGTCATGAAAGTATCTTATTTCTCCATCAATTTTGAAAGACAGTTTGCAGTGTACCTCAGTCTGGGTTGGAGGTTGTTTTCCTTTAGGGCTTGAAATATGTCACTCCATGCTCTTCTTGCCTTGAGGGCTTGTGTTGAGAGGTTTGCTGTGATTCTGATGGGCTTCCCTTTGTATGTGATTTATTTCTTTTCTCTTACTGCTTGTGGAATTTTGTTCTTCTGTTGAGTTTCTGGAATCTTAACTATTATATGTCTATGTGTAGATTTTTTTAATTACGGCTAGTTGGAGTCTTATATGCCTCATTCATCTGTATGTCAGTATATTTTCCTCTACTTGGGAAGTTTTCTGCCATTACTTCTGCGAACAGATTTTTTTTATGTCATCTGTACTCTCTCCTGTTTCTTCATTGACTCTGATCAGTCTTATGTTATTCTTCTTTGCATCATCTAGCAGCTGCTGGATTGATTTCTCATGGCCCCTTACTATTAACAAATTTTTCTTTTCCTGGTCACTAATTGCAATTGTATCTTCTACATCTGAAATTCTGTCCTTGCATTTGCTCATTCTGCTGTATAAACTTTCAGTGGAAATTAATCTCTGGGGAATCTGTTTGCATCTATTTTATGGATTCTATTTTTTTCCTATGTTGGTGCTCCATCATGTTCTTCAGGTCTTCTATTTTTTATCTGTGTCCACTCTAGGTTTATTAGTCATGTCCTACACTATGGGCACAATCTCTGCTGTTATCTGAGAAATTATTTCTGATTGCATTTTTTCCAGGTCCCTTTCATTCCTAGTTCAGGGAGTCCAGGTGGTTGAGTATCAGATTGTTCCATCTTGTTTCCCTTTGGGTTGCCTTAGGTGATCTGGAAATCTGGTTTTGAGACTTTTTTATGTGTCTTCTCATTTCAACAGATGCAGCCTGCTATGCATTTGTTGAGGCAACTTTTTGTTCACCCAGTTGTCTTCAATTCTTAGGAAGCCACCAAGCAGCCTTTTCTCTGCTGCTCACCAGTACACCAATTTCTGGGTTCAGAATGGTGGCTTTCTGGATCCCTGAGCTGACCTGTTACTGGGGAGACTTCTGGCTGGGGCCTTTGCACACTTGGGATGGTATCTAGGTGTGCCTCTCACTGGGGCTCCTATGTACCTATTGTCTGGTAGGGCCTTTGGCTGAGGGCTGTGCACCCCAGTTCCTGTTGTCTGTGCAGGCTTCTGGCTAGAGTCTCCATGTCTTTATCAATGATATCAGGGAGAGCATCTGGCCATTGCTTGTGTGCCTGTGTAGCCCTTTTCCAGGCAGGACCTTGGCTATGGCCTGTGTGACTAAGCCACTGGGTTCAGGGAGGGGCCCTGGCTGGAATACACCTGTAGCTGCACTGCTCTAGTCCACACTGCTGCTCCCCAGGATCTGTGTGCAGTACAACAGGAAAGCTTTTGATCTGTCAGGTGAATGCTCATAAAACGGACCCTTGACTTATTTGCATGGGCTGGTTGTAACTCAAGTTGATCAGGCTTCTCTACACAGCCTTCAAAGTCTCTCTCCTGTATAATTTTAGGCCACACTTTTTTTCCAGGCAGATGTTCTTAGACAGACATTGGCCTAGGGTTTTTAATTAACCTTATACAGGAAAGGATACTGTAATCCAGAACTCTGTTAAATCTCTATCTGAGAACCATCCTCATGCACAAATGGCCAGCTTTTGGGTCATAACTCAAGATTTTGGTTGTAAGTTAAAACTAAAATTCCAGTCATGACCCAAGTTGTTTGTATATCAGACTGGTCATAACTTGAAGGTCCACTGTAGCTGGAAGGACCATAATAAACACAGAGCACGGGTCCTGAGTTTGATCCCCAATACCCGGGAAAAAAAAGCAAAAAACACAGATCATGGAATCCTTTCCATAGAAAAACAGTATGTATAAAACCATATCTGTGATTTTAGGCATCCGCTGGTGATCTTTGAAAGTATCCCCATTGGTAAGAGTAGACCTTGGTGTTGATAACATACCTTTCTAAATCTCTTTCCCTATTTCATGCTATTAACATGAATTATGAATTTAAAAGCAAAAAACAAAACAAAACAAAACCAAAACAAAGCAGCCCAAAACTTTTTGTATATTAGGACCAGCTCAGGGAAAAGTATTAATGAAAGTATCTGCAGGTAGCAGTGGCCTACCTGACATTTGTTGACTAGTTGTTTGACTGACAGTAAAACCCTGAATTAAGGGAGAAGAGCTGCTTATATTGAGTTGGCGTGTTCTGTCTCTACAGAAAGATATGTTGCCTGGATCTCTGATGGAAACTTGCTTTTTTCATCAGCCTTTTAATGGGGAAGGCACTGGCTCTGGGTTTGAATTCAAGAACTTTCAAAAAAGGAAATCTTAGCATGGGGCTCATCCCTTAGCAATTTCTTCCTCCTGAGTTTTGCTAGCTTTGCCTCTTTGACACTTAGGTCCAGCTAAATTGATCTTATTGAATAATTAATGAAGCTTTATCTTATTAAAAAAGGTGAGAAAGGAAGGAGACAATGAAGAAAGGAAGATGGATGAAGAAATAAGGCAAGATGGTTAACATTTATTAAATCTGGCCATTGGGCACAGTGTTTGTTATGTTGCTCTTTGCTTCTGTGTATGTTTGAAATATTCCATAAGATTTTTTTTTTTTTTGTACCGGGATTGAACTTGGGACCTTGTACTTGTGAGGCAGGCTGCGGCACCTCTGAGCTAAATCCCCAGCTCAGTCATAAGCTTTTCAAAGAGATTTTAAAAAACAGTTTACTTTCAGAAAGTACTTTCTCTCACACAGAAGCTGTAAGATTTCTCCTTGATATGAGGTGTGGTGTTTCACATCTGTTCACCTCACATTTGAGAGGCTGAGGCAGGAGGATCAGCAGTTTGAGCCCATAGTGAGCTCACACAGCGAGACCTTGTCTCAAAACAAAACAAGCCCCCAAACAAAACAAAATTTGTCTTCTAGATACAGTGGTATCTGAAATACTTACCATCAACTATCAGGTTGTTTAGTAGGTCCTCATACTCCTCTTTTCCAAGTTCAAGTTCCAAGTTTTCCATAAGTGTTTCCAGCTCATTAACATAGACTTTTTTCCCTTTGGAAAAAAAGAATGAAAATAAGAAATACAAGTAATTTCAAGAAGTGGAAGACGCTATCTTTTTTATTTTTTGGTACCAGGGATTGAACTCAGGTTCTTGCACTTGCAAGGCAGGCCACCGAACCGCTAAGCTAAATCCCCGGTGGAAGATGCTATCTTTGAGATCATGCATCACTCTAAGTGGAGAATGAAACACTGGCCATTTAAATGAACCTAGACAGTGTCAGATTTGAGAAGGGAAAATGCTCCCTCATCAATAAACTATAACTTTCAACTGAAGTAACCATGGATGAATAAGAATTAGACAAATCTGATGAACTGTAATAAGATAACCAACCTAAATGAAAGCAACCTTTCAAACTTGCTATGGTGATGTATAACCAACAACGATTTCTTCAAATATACCCAAGAAAGAATAGTAGTTTATGAGACATAAATTGAGAATCTAGAAACTAGTACAATAGTGTAGTAGCAGGGTTCTAATCAATGAGAATTTTTTTTTGTTTGATTTTTGGGGACAGGATCTCACTCTGAAGCTCAGGCTGACCTTGAACTCACTATGTAGCTCAGGCTGGTCTTCAACTATCAGCAATCCTCCTGCCTCAGCCTCCAGAGTGCTGGGAATAAAGCTGCACACCACCACACCTGATACCTTTTTTTGTCCATAAAACTATTTAGGAGGCTGGTACACAGCCCTTCATTCACATCATGATCAGCTGGAGACAGCGTTAATCTTACTGTTGCATCACAATCATTCCTAGCAATGCTATTTTTCCTTCCTCTTCCTTTTTCCTGTGTCTGAATAGTCTTCATGGCTCCAGGACATGCCAACACCAGCACTCTGATGCTTCGGGTCTCTTTCCCCACTCCTGTTACATTTCAGTGTCTATTCCTCTAACGGTGCTTGACATTCATCTTTTCACTGAGTCCTCACACCACCCCTGTGAAGGAGAGGCAGTGATTCTTTCCTACTTTAGATGAGGAATTTGAGTCAGGGAATGGTGAAAGGCTTGTCTGAGGCTGTCCAGGTAGTAAGGATTGGGTTTGGAGCTTAGGCAGGATTCCCTGTTTGCTTCCTGTGGTCTCTCCTTATTGTAATTTTTCCTCCCGTTGATATCCTTAGCGTATTTTTCTGTTTACTTCTTTAGGTACTTTCCCATGAATTTTATTTCCACATTACAGTTGATTTACCCATTCAATTTTCACAATAGTGTAGAAGATAGTTTAGTCAGTTTATGACTAGCTAGCTAGTAGAAGAAGGGCCTGAGACAGAGTAGGGTGATCAGTTATACTGATAAAAATTAAGAACAGTGAAATAGGACTTTGGAAAATGAATTTCCTCAGGCAGTATGGAATGCAATCCATACCATACTAAGATCGTGAAGGAAGGTATGGCCATTCTCTACGAGGATCCTGAAATTTGAGAAAATTATAATGCAAATTAAACAGCTCATTCTGAAATCCCATTTTATTGTAAACACTGTGTGAAAGAACTGCACCTGTAAAGGTGACTACTAAACAAGCAATTCCTGTACCCCAGTTGCCTATAATAATTCTAAATTAAGAGGCCATGCAGCTACACCATTTGGGACCCCTCCTGGAAATTCAGGAGCTGTTCGTCTCCTTATTTTCCATAAAACTTACCTAACCTCTTTATCTGGTTTGCAACTTCATTCTTTGATGTTTTGTGGAACCACAAACTCAAAACACACCGTATCTATAGTCTTTCCAAACTGTAATTCCACTTCTGGTTTTGAAGACTTATTTCAAATAAAACCCCAAAGGTGGGTGTGGTGATACACGCCTGTAATCCCAGCACTTGGGAGACTGAGGCAGGAGGATTGCCCTGAGTTCGAGGCCAGCCTGAACCACATAGCAAGACTGTTTTGTTTTGTTTTTTGTTTTTTTAAATCCCTTTCTATATACTTTCCTATCATTGGATTTACGTGGTAAAGGTCTAACTCTCAAGTACTTCCTGGTTTTCCCAGAAAACCTATTTAACTATATTAGTGTTATCCAGCTATAATGAATGCATATCCTTCCCCATAATGGCCTAAAACAATTGAGATGACACGTGTTTAAGCCTTTCAATGTGTTAACATATGCTTCTTGAAACATCGGAATCTGTATGTTTGGTTTGGTGCTTAGGATTTCATTATGTTATTATTTCATTAATGTTATTAACATTAACACTGCAGAATGCTCCCTTAAAATACAATTGTTACAGACTTTCCAACGTACATTAATATACTGCTGTGACTGAAAATGTTATAACTAAAATTTCATTTTAATTATTTCTGTTAAAATGATGTGATTTGAAATGTTAGACCTCACAGGTACTAAAAAAAAAGGATCTGGTACAAACTTTATAGGTACAGAAATTGAGACATAAAAAGGGCAAGTGATTTGCCCTACAAAATAAACTGTGATAAGATTAGAGTGCAGGAGTTTGAACTAATTCTAGTCTATTCACCACACCAGTGACTCCTCACATCCATCGCACATTCACCCCAGCAACTTGTTTTCCAGACACCTATTCATGGCTCCCACTGTGGTTTCTGACATAGGAGATTAGAATGTGACAGCCTAGGTGGAGAAGCAGGCGTGACCGTGCACAAAACCCCAGACCACAGTTCCTCATGATAGCCCACTCTGTTTCCTGCACGGTGTTCTTTTATCTTGCTTTTTCCTCTTTTACTCAGCCCACGCTCGCTCTGTAGAGCCAGTTTCTCTCAGTATTCACTCTTACATTTTCAAATAAACTTTGCCACTGCTTTGTGCTGGTTCGTTCAATTCTTTGTTTGAGATGAGCGGAACCTGGAAGCTAACTTCAGAAGGAGAGAGGTGAGCAATCCAAAACCTGGTAATATTTAATTGGCAAGCCACTTTTTTTTTTTTTTTTTTTTT